CAATTAATTATCATGATTTCTCAGTCATGAAATCAGCTGACCAGTAATTTAGTTCAGGGAGCACAGCTTATTTGTGGTATAAGAAGTTTAGATGCCAAGCATCCAATCACCCAGCATAGGGTCATTATGTTCTTGCTTACTTACATTTTAAATGTAAATATGAACAAACAGTAGGCACTCAATATTCATTGTTTAGTAGATAGAGAGGCAACTTGGCATAGTGGAACAAAAATGAGCTTTGAAGTTACACAGGCTGAGCATACATTCTTGATTCTGCTTTGGGCGCATTAATTAAAATCTCTACAACTCACTTTTCTCATCTGAATGTGGAAACAGAAAAACACCCACCTTGGAAAGTTGTGCTGAGGATTCAATGAAACAACTTTTGTAAAGTTTCTTGTTTGCAAGTACCTAGTAAACTGGGGTCATTAGTAATGATATTTGAAATCCTAAACTTCCTAGAAAGTTCAGCATTTAACAGGCATTTATACATATATCACTTAACCCATATATCTACTTTATAATGTAGGTATTAATACACACACACACACACACACACACACATATTAGTAGTAGGGATGAATAATTTTTTCCACATTAAACAACTGACAAGTAGGGAGTAAGAAGAATACAACCAAATCTCGCAATTTCTTAGCTTTCTGACAGAGAAGCTGAAAGTTAAGATATTGTATGCTTTCAAATGATTTGTTCTATCACTTTTACTCCTCCCCCAACACACACTCAGGGTGTGAGAAATGAGGATTCTTCACACACATTATCTTGATTATAAAAAGAAAAAGATTAAAATGTAATTTTGGTGTTTTTTTTATCAGACAAAACAAGAACTCATCACTAAAGATAGTAGGATGTTGACATTCTCAGATAAAAAACAAGATGTCAACACAAAAAGTTATCATCCTTCCAACCCACTATTCATTATTTTAATGAGATTTGAGGTTGACCTGAGTAGAAAAATAACCATGACCTTTCAGACCAGAAGAATATATTGAATGAATTGATTCTGTATCCCCAAGTTACAAAGATTCTTCTTCACTTGCAAAATCTGTCATAACTCTTTTGGCTCATATAAGCTGCATTACTGTTGCTCATCCTTCTAAAGCACCCTCCTTTTTCTGGTCATTGTCAGTTCCTCCTACTGTCTCTTTTATCCCAGTTGGCTAAGAGATTATTAAAATATGTTCATAGCAAAGAAATTCAGATGGACAATAGCAAAAACTTGGTGGGGGATAGGGAAGGACCAATGTGGTGCTCTAAGGTTCTTTTTTTGGTTAAATCTGAGTTTGAATCCTAACTGTGTCACTTGTCAGCCGAATCTCCTCAGGCAAGTGCTTGGCTGACGATTTCCTCAATTCCCTAAATTACTAAAAAATAAAAGACAATCCCTAGCATTTAGTGGTAAGTGAGTGACATACTTGAATCTCCATAACAACTCTATGAAATAGTTACTTTTAACTATTGGAATAGTTACTAAATGAAATAGTTACTTCAATACGCTGAGATTTAGAGGTTAAGGAAATTGCCCGAGGACGTACAGCTTCTAAGTAGCATCTTTAAAATTCAAATCTCCATTTTTTTTTTGTATTGCTAACAGCCTCCCAAATAACGCTATCTACATATTGATATTTGTGAGAAGTCTTTGAGATAAGTTCACTTAATGTTCATGGTATATAGAAGGCTTAATAAATATCAGCTCCTTTCTCTTTGCGTCTATGTAGTAGATGTTTTTAGTTTTCTCAAAAGAGTTTACATTTCTTATTCCATTTCATCTTCACTTGACAGATAAGGAAACTGAGGACACATGGGACCAAATGATATCAACAAATTACCAGAGAAAGTGGTCTGAGGACCCAGCATTTCTCTCTTCACATTTGCTACCTTCTCTTCTCCAAACTTTCAATCTGTCAAAATCCTGTGAGAAGGACTTTCATTTTTCTCTTGGGTCCTCCCTTCCTTTTTGGCTTCAGGCAGAAAGGCATATGCTTATTTTCATAAATGAATGAGTGCCTTGATGTTACAGAACCTGATAACACACACTTCAAATGATTACTTTGTGATCTCTGGGATCATCATGGCAGGAGGCCGTTCTCAACTAGACTCTGGTTCCCTGGCAATGACAAGCCTTAATGGAATCTGGCCTGCGGAGCGTCTGGGCTGTGTGCTAGCTTGGTGTCAGAGCAAGTGCAAGCAAGTTTCCCGAAGCTCAGCCTTTACAACATTGTGTAACTCACACATTCCTTCAAGGCACCACCCACCTTTTCCAGTGGGAATCTACTGAAATGATTCTCTTTGAGGCAGTGTGGAAGTAGTGGGGAAGGGTGTGAAGTATGTGTTTTTGGAGGAGATTGTGGATGGGGGAGTGGGTGGAGACAAGCAAGGGGCGGGGGGGCGGGGAGTGACAAGCAAAGATGGAAAAAATAACCACCACTGCCACCAAAATATTCTGCTCAAGGATGAGAGAGTACACCCTACAGCTGTTAGCACTGTTCAGCATATTTTGCATATTTACATATACCAAGTATTTCCAAACAGCCTTGTGTTTGTTTTAAAATCCCACACGGTGATGTCTGGTAAAGCTGTTACTGTGGAAAGCTTATTTTCTTGGTGATGTTTACAAAACTGTTTTAAAATTTTGTATATACATCATAAGTCAATCAGAAGAGTCCCTGGCATTACCCACATTATAGAGAAATCTGGGTCACTCCAGCTACCCATCAGACAACATGCAGAGCAAAACACCCATGTTCTAAGGCAAAGAAGGCACCTGGTTTGTTGAAGCCAATTTTTAAAAATTCTTATGTTTGGTTCAACACAAAATGAAACACAAGTCATCACCCAGTGATCCCTGTTAGTTCTAAAGACACCAATGTGGTTTTCTTAGTTGCTATTGATTCTCGTTTTTGATTTAGAAGTTTTTTGGGGTTTTTTTGTAAGAAAAATGGTAACACTGGATAGATTTCTCAGAGCCGTTTTCCTTTGGAAACATAAAACACCGCAAAACCACACACAGCCCATTTGTTAAAGATTAAGAAACTTCCAGCAGAATGGGGTTGTTTAAAACTGTATTTCCCTTTTAGCAAGATCCACAAGAAAAGGATAGAGTGTCGTGCTTAAAGGGGAACAGATTTTGTATTTTTTGGCAAGATATTAAATCCTCTGTTGCTATATTTGGCTCCCTGCAAATAGTCTCTGTACAAGTGCAAAGTGAAGATCAATGCCGGTGTTCTTCATTCAGCTACAGCCAAACTTGGTATGGAAAGTCAAACGTTGTGCTTGAGTGTTGTTTTTAAGCGAGTCTAGCTCATTTGTTGATCAACAGCGTTTGAGAGGGTCGGTACCTACTTTACACATTAAATTAATATATCCAAACATGTTTGTGTTCCGTAACAGTTTTTCCACTGCTTAACTGATAACAGATGTAATGATTCAACCTAGGCAGAAATGTAAAAGTTTTACCATGTCAATGTGGTCATATATAGATATTTAGTTAAATGTGGATAAGCAGGTCAAATGAGATGCTTGGAGACTTAGAACATCACAGGATGGGCATATGTTCCCAAAAAAGGAAGCAAAACAATTAAATGGTAGTGATTGTCCCCAAAGAAAACACACTTCAGCTAGGAAGAATCTGCACCAGATGTCCTGCTCTCCACCCCCCTGAGTGCCTGTCTGAAATAAATACCACATAACCCTTTGGATCCCAAGGCACTACAGTATCCACGTGAAATGTTTGAAATAGCAACAAGAATTTCCTTCATATGCAGTTATTTAAGTGAATGAAAATGAATCCTACACACGAGCACTGCAAACATGGAACAAGCCTTGCTAGTTCCAGTGACATGATAAATCGTCCTAGATTAAAAGGCTGATAAAAAAAATAATAATTGAAATCTAATAGTAATTGTGGTAGGTAGAATGGGTCACCCTCAAAATGTTCACATTGTAATCTTCAGAATTTGTGAAGATGTTACCTAACATTTAAGGACTTTACAGATGTAATTATTTAAGGAATTTGAGATGGGGAGATTATCTTGGATTATCCAGGTAGAGCCAATGTAATTATAAAAGGAACTCAAATGTGTAAAACGGAAGGCAAAAGAGAGAGTCAGGGTGAAGCCATGTGAGAAGGACTTGACCAGCTGTTACTGACTTTGAAAAGGGAAAAAAGGGGCCGTTAGCCAGGGACTCTAAACCCTGAAAACAGCAAGGAAACAGAGTCTCCCTTTGGGTACCCAAAATGAATGCAGCCGACACTTTGATTTTAGCCCACCAAGACTAGGGCCGAATGTCTGACCTACAGAGCCCTAAGATGAATTTATGTTGTTTTAAGCCATTGAATTTGTGGTAATTTTTTTACAGCATCCATACAAACCCCATAACACTAGGCTAGTCTAAATATGGCAGACTGTTCAGAAGCCTGTTCCAAGTTATTTCACCAGTCATGCTGGAGTGTCTACTGATTTAAACACTGATTTCCAGGCTTTGCACTTCCACCTTGAAGATTTATTTAATAAAACATAAGACTCATGTAGGCAAACTCCAGCAACCTTTAAAAATATAAGGTCTTGGACTTCTTTGTAGGTGTACTTCCTCAACGTCAATGAACTATTAGGAAAGTTTTGTTTGTTTTTCCATATTATTTACAGCAAGTTTCGTATCAACAAATGTAAAAACAAAATACACTTCTCCTGAAAAATCAACTGATAACTTTAAAAGCATTGTATTAAAAAAAATCATAAGCTTCCTGTTTTTATGTAATTAATGTAGCCCATTTCACTTACTAATCCATTATAAATGCTTGTTTTATAACCCATTCTTCATGGCTCTCGAAATTAACCTCATTAAACAAAAAAAAATACTATGATGTATTAATTTCCAATGGCATTTATAAGTTGTTTAATTAAATAAGAAAAAAAATGGAGAACTTTAGTTAAATGTCAAGAAATGCAGACAAAATAAAAAAGCTACATTAAATATAAACATTAACTTCACATTAAATTATTTATTGAACAAATTGAAGATGACATCTGTTATTACAAAATCCTCCATTATCTTATATCATCGACATAGTTATAAGGCCTGCATTTGAAAAGTGAATAGAAATATGAAAATGTCTCTTTCCCCAGCCCCAAGAAAAAACAGAAAGAAATATGATTTTATAATTAGCTTGTAAACCTAAAAAGTTTCATGAATTATATATTTTTTATAAATTGAGAATGACAACATTAAAATTAATTTGTCTTTCTGGAAATGTAAAATTAAGATAGCATAAAACTGCTCATAAAACTAACAAATCTGGAATTTCATTATATTTCAACATTGCAAGATAATATTTCTATCATTAGTGTTCACTTTACCTAATCAAGTGACAAATATTAAGTTCACCATACTGTGTATTTTTTGTTAATAAAAGCATATCATCTTACCTAGATTTATATGATAAAAACAAGTTAAATCCATGTTTTCCCTTCAATATATGCACTTCAAAATGACACAATGAATTCACATGAAAACCTTTCCCTATACTGTATATCCAAAAAAATGTATGGTATAGCACTTTTAAATCAGATATTATATCTAAGATTGTAAATATCCTAAGAAATTAAATCAAGTATGTAAATAATCATTATTAATTTTTGTCCTAGCCACAGCATGGAAAAAATGTACATCCTTATTAGTATAAAGAGATATCATTAGAAAAGTTCACATCTTCTGCATATATGAAAAAAGCTAATTAAAGAATCTTGTATTCTAAAAAAGTTATTCTTAGGCCAAAATTTAGTAGTCCAGAAATGGTTAAAAAGGAAGTTAATTGATAGTGACCTGCCTTTTTTCTAAAAGGTGTCATTGTTTACTTATACAGTGGAGTTGGTAAAATACACTTAATTATTATTTATTGGAATTTTAAAGGGGAATTCAGATAAATTTATTGGATCCAATTAATTTGCAATTTCAAGAGAACTAGTTTGATCAATTATTCAAAACCATAAACATATTTTCCAACTAAACAAATAGCACAATGGACAATAAAAGAAATAAGAAAATTAAGATATTTTAATAATAATAATGAATAATTTGGAAACATGTATAAGGCAAAATTCCCAGAAAGCACTAAAAGAAAAAAAATGCCAAAACAAAAAACCTACAGAAAAATTCTGAAAGTCTGTTCTGTGACAAACCTCCATGATCAAGTTACAAAGGTAATTAAGATTTTGAAGCTATTGAGACCGAAATTTCCTTGCAGGCCCCACCCATACCCCCATCACCAGAGTCATCCACTTTTGTGTAGTTTACATATCGTCTTAGGCATACATGATTGAACTAATTCTTTAACCTCATTTTTCTAAAACAGCTTTAATAATAGTTTTAATATGAAATTTAAAGGGCTCTTGGACCATGATTTCAGAAAATAAATTTTAGTTTCTCTCTCAAACAAGCCTTACATTTTCTGAAAGATGTTTCTTTTATCCCGGATGAAAGAAAACAAAACAAAACCAAAAAAAAAAAAACAAACCAAAAAACCCCAAAACCGTGTCCTTAGGGTCCTGCATATTAAAACTGGCAGGCTGATTTCAGTCTTGGTCTCAAACAGTTTCTGCTTTCTGCTGTCCTTCTGTCTGTTGTGAAGGTGATCAATCACAGGAGTCTAACTGCCATCAATACCCCTTTGTAACTGCAATGGTTCAAATAAACTCTTTCCATCTTCAATAACTGACACAGTGTCAACATCTGCTTCCAATAAAGTTGTTTCTTTTTTTCTGAAGTAGAGTAAATCTGCTGACTGAGATCGTAAAGGGTTGTGTTTTTTTTTTCCTCCCCTTGAATGCAGACGATTTTTTTACACCATATTTTGCAATTTTTTTCCTCCAAGGCAAGTTAAAAAAAAAATGGATAACTTCAAAAGAGATGTTTTTATTCCAGGTGCTAAGGGAGCACAAAATATAACTGAAAAATATAAACTTTGGTAATTTAATGAAACTGTTGCCTTAGTTTTGAAGAAAATAATCCATACAGTCCTGGATGAAGTTTTAGAATATGTAAGAAAACTCAGAGTTGGACCTACATACCACTAAGAGGTTAACTTATTTTCCTTCATAAATGGCACACTAAAATATTAGCAATAATTAATAAATTTACATTTTATCTTCAACACCCAGTAGAAGGCAAAAATTCTCTTGCAATAATTTGTTGCATAGAAGCACAGTCATATATCTATTTGATTGCTACAGAAATGGGTATAGAAAGTAAAGAGAAGGAGTGTTTTGGGAGCTCAATTTTATGACCTTGTTACTCAACTGAAAGACACATGGTAGCTGTCATTTATTGAACATCTACTACGAGACAGATGATTGATCATATGTATGATTTCCAACCTTCACAGCTGGCCAGTTAGTTATTATTATCCCACTTACTCATGAAATAAATAAATGGAATGCCAAATAACACTCATCTTAATTGTGGCTAAGCCAGAATTTGGAGAATGACTTAACGCCCAAGCCAATGCTTTTTTCCATTTATTCAATCTGCTTCTCTATTCAACCCCCAGTCAGAACTCTAAACATATATACTTTCCTTTTCCACCACTTAATGATACTGCCCCATTGACTTAATTCAGCAAACATTATCTAACAAAGGGACACTCAGTCAGGAATAAAATGCAGTTTCTCGAAAACAGTTTCTGATTGCCACTTTAAAGTAGAAATGTAACCTAAAACCAGATAGCAAATGTGAAAGCTAGATAGAGTCTGTCATCTGTTCTACAGGTCTTGAGTAGGAATGGGCAAATACTATTTGCATAATGAATAACAAACTCTTCAAGGGCATATTTTATGCCAGTGCCTAGAATTGTTTTTTAAGTTTGTTCTAAAGTTAAAGAAATTAATTCCTCGATTATTTGCAATCCACTAATGCTCATTTACAAAATTTAGAACAATTCTGGTCATTTTTGCTTAAAATAGTTGTGTAAGTAATTTGAAGAGGAAAGGGAAAGGAGAAAAATTACAGGGGGAAGTTTAGGAGAGATGGTGAACCTTCTTAAGAGGAAACATTGGTTTTTAAAACATTTAGAGACTCTTTTCAAATAAACAATGAGGGTCCAATAACCTATTAAGATTTATCTTGTTCCTTAGCTTATCTTGTTCATTGTAAGTTTAGTGGGGGAAGCATAGATTAGATGTCAAGTACATCAGATGATTTTCTAGGGTTTAGCTCACAGATCTTTCGAAAGCTTGGATAAAGTCTAATTTGCAAATTAGTCAAAGCCGTAGTGTTTCCAAACGGAATTAGGGAGGGAGGTGGGCGCTCTCAATAAAGCCGACAAAGCTCAACAGCATCATTTTGATGTGAGACAACCAGACCCAGAGCACGTTAGCACTTTAAATTGAAAGTAAATCCAGAAGATCATGCTAAATTACAGTTCATCCTCTTTTATAACTTCCGGTGGCAATGGTACTATGACCATAACAAGGGGACGTCAGGCCATTATAGAGAGACACGCACTCATTCTCTTTTTACTGAGATTTTGATACATTCCTTGTATACCAAGGATCGAATCCTTGCCACATGCCAACAGCACCTGGGCCTATTCTCGACAGGATAGCCCACTTGCAAAATTTTCCTGCGCACAGTGGAATTCAGGCCCCCAACTTTTCTTGGGCCTCTAGAGCAAAGGAATATTTTATACTATAGTTGCCAAGAGTCACACAAGGCATAGTCTCAATTTAGGGTGAAGCTGTCTAATCAACTGCTCCCTTTCAATTCAATTCAATAGAGAATAAAGAAAGGAGCAGAGAGTTAATACTTTTCTTAATTGGGAAAGTCCGATTTGAATGATCTGAATGAGTTGGGGTACAACACCGTTCTAAGAGAAACTGCAAAGGAAGTTAATAGGTTATAAGGGGAGAAAAATAAATAATCTGCAGGGAGTCAGTCACCCTATGTGAACTACCAAATACTTGCTTTGAAAACTCAGGACACAAGATGAAACCAATTTTATAGACTCATTCAGCTCTGTGCTCCACAGATTTGGGCAAATTACAAATAATTGTATCAAATCAAATTGCAAATTAAAATGTAGATAATTTAACCACGCTAGTCCCTAGAAATCTAAGTCGATATCATTAGTGAGTGGAAGATACTTTAAGTTTGGGCCTCACATTAGGTAAAAATGTGCATATTATGCTAAGGAGAGTCTGGTTAAGAAGCAGCAATGTATGGAGTGATTAGAATACAGTAAGACAGTGTATAGATGTATAATGCATGAGATGCACCAGGAAAGAAAAGTAGTATGTGAAATAGAGCTAAGAGAAATATTTGAAAATTATCTGTGAGAACTCTGCCTAGCTAAGCAGAGGTTGTGTCATTCTTCTATCTGTAATGTACACATACATGATGTATACAATTTAAGATGGAAAGTGGTATTTCATTAAACATTGTATTTCACATGGCTGAGGACAGGGATGGGAAAAATTTGAGAAACTTTTTTACCAAATAAAAATTTCTATATAACATTAACTTTTTAACATGACCCATCTCTGGAAGTAGCTGAAAGAATGGACTTTACATTTAAAGCCCTTAAAATATCATTAACTGCTACTTTCACAATCCTAATCTTTTCCTAACAGGGTCTTAATGATAATTACATCTTCACCTGATTTAGATTTGGAGGGCCATGTCAAGTTGAAACCAGGGTTTTCAATAAGAAATTTCAAATATAAATTGTCAATTTATTAAACCAATTTTAGTAATTGTGGCATAAATCCAAATCTAAATTTCATTTCCCCAAATTTTTCCTTAAAAAAATAAGTCAACTAAAACCAGATTTAAACCAAAAAAAAAAAAAAGTGGTGAAAACCTATGCTTAAAAGATTACATACACCATATATTAGTTTCAATTCACAATGATAGGTAATATTATCAGAAACAGCCACTGAATTAAAGGCTTTATGATGTGTCTAGTACCCTCCCAAATATTATCCCTTCAAACTATCTCCAGGAAAAAAAAAATCCACTGAAATATGACCTTAAAAATGACCATAAATGAGTGATTAGGAACAAGGAAAATAAGTCACTGGAACTCAAAGGTAGCATGGTTAAATGCATTTTTTTCCAGGAGTTCGATAAAACTCTGGTTCTATTTATCAAAGTCAGATGGACTAAAAAAAGAATTATATACGCTAGGCAAACTCTCCATCTGATTGAAAGTTTATGCAAAACTTTCTTAATCAACCTCTTTGGGAGAAATCAAAGTAATGAAATATCCTTTCTTTAGTGTGGTCATTAAAAACTTCCTTTTGAAGCTATACATATAACTCAAAGCTAAGTAAACTAGCATGGAATTAAATCTTCTCTGAGATTTAATGTGATACAATACTATATTGGCTTGGCTATGGTGCTATTTTTGTAAAAAGGAGAAACTATCAAACACTGAGGTAACCTAGAAAGCACAGAGCATATCACAGACACCTTAAAAACAAGCATTTTAAACATTTTTGCCAGTGCTTCTCTGAGAGCAAGTTCTTTAAACAGAACTTAACAATGTTTACAATATTAAAAAACATACATCCCTCAAAAATAGCCCATCAATGCTAAATCAAACTTTCTGTATTTCTACAAAAATAGATGCACATAGAGCTACGAACTGTATTCCTGAAAGAATGAGCATTTTCATCTGTGGTTCATCTTTTCCTGACAAGGTGGCTGGTTCCAAAAATTCAAAATGAAACAAAATTAAACCATGTATTGATAAAAGCAAGACAAAAATAAAAAGAGTTGCACAGTTGGCAAAGGCTCAGATGAGGGGGAAAACAAAACAAACAAAAATGCGTTTCTTCAATGTCTAGGACCCACTCTGCTTTCTCAAGAAAAGGCTCCAGACCAAAGTCAGCTGGCTGACACTTCCTCTTCTCCTTCCATGTCTATCATGTCCCATTGCAGAATGGACAATCCTGGCAGCATCTTTTCCCCTTGGGCCTGTGGATTCACACTCCAACCTGACTTGATAATACTGTGTTTCAGTACCATGGTGATTCCTTGCTCTTGTCTTGATGCTGTAGACCTAGAAAAGGTGACAATGAGAAAAATAAAAAGCATTAATACATGTAACTCTCAAAAAAATGGGCATAACTGATAATGCATTGGATACAGAAACCAAAGAACAATCTAGGCAACTGTGAGTTATGGCCTAAGGATCACTGGATCTCTAAGGAAATTCTGCGCTTGAGGTCACAAGTTTCAAAATGTCAGCCAACACAGTAGGTTACAAAAACTCTCTAGACTAGGGCATTGCTATTTGTACAGTACAAATTCTTTACCGTGCATTTTATTTCCTTGGAGTATGGGTGAATAAAATAAAATCATAAAATAAATAATAAAATTAAATAAAATTAAAAATTAAATTGACTTTTATTTCTAATTTCAAAGGAAGTGGATACTGGGGGAAAACCATGTAACCAACCTTTGTGGCATTTACACAGCACTTCAATTAATACTTTTCAGCAACAAAAATGATATTTTTGGACGAAAGTAGTGAATAAATTCTGGTGTTACTTTCAAATGTATGCCAGAGTGGGATGGCTATAAATCGTGGTTAAAAACTGATTCTAGTATTGTTAGTAAAACAGATATAGCTGGTTCATAACTAATAGCACAAATCTATATTCGATTTATAAACTTATTTATTTTTATCACATTTTCCTCCAGAAAATATTTAAGATGGCTTATAAAAATCCATACTTCATAGCAAGAAAATATGTCATAGTCAATTTAAAAGAATAATGACAAAAGGAAAATATGAGATGTATGAATTCCAACTCAAAACTAAAATGATTAGGAAGAAGTTTACCAAAGAGGAAACATTAAAAAAAGTGACTCTCATTTGGTTCTAATATAGTCAGTCAATTGACTAATTTCTGATCTGGGCAATTAGTATAACTCCTTCAGCCTACACCCCCTTGAAGTCACTTTCTTCAGTTTCCTTTATTTTTATTCTGAGGCATAATTGTTTGGAAGAGTAAAGACTCAGAATAATGGCTGCTGTTAAGTTGTTTGACATCAAATACCAAAACATGAAGGTAAGGCTATTCAGTAAGTGGGCAGAAATGCAGCCTGATTGCTTTGTGGGGGTGCTGGGACCACAGGCTGTCTTCTTGGTCCTTGATCTAAAACTGTTGTAAGTCTGGGCTGGATGTCAGAAACAGAATGGTTAAATGAGCCAGTATGGTTTTAAACTGTAATTGTTACTAAAACAGCTGTGGTGATTTCATTTCTTGTCCCTTCAACTTGTCAAATAATTTTATGAAACAATGGGTATCATTACAAAACAGATACAATTAGTCAGCGGTTGATGGGAGACATTAAGACAATCTACAAAACTACATAAAGGGAGAAAAAACAAATAGGAGACAAAGAAGCAACTCATAGAACCACAAGTCACTATCTATGTCCTGTAGCATTTGTGTACTAGGAAAAAGTAATACTTCCTAAAGAAAGATTAGTTCCATCTTCATTTTTTTCTCATGTGTACTAGTATTGTGTTTAAATGCAGAGTCAATAGTTTTCCTCTCCCCTTTCAAAAGAAGAGAGGAGGAGAAAGAGGAGAAAGGGGGAGGAAGAAGAATAAAAGGATTTGGGGTACACCATTCACTCTAAGTTTGCCTTATTCACTTTCAAACGATTGTATGGTTAGAATAATTTACAACCTAACATTGTCTCCGTTGGGTGACTCTTATAATCTAAACCACCTTAACTGACAATCTGCTGACTGCATAAATATTTTTTTCATTATTAAAACGTCTCATCTTCTGTATGACTCAGTATTTCCACACTTGAAGACTCCATCAATCTATAGAATGTCAGCACGGCAGTCATGAATAGTGTTGGAATCATCAAGTGGTCTGAGTGTCTTTTTCCCCCCTTAAATAAAGGCAATCCCTACTTTGTTTTGCAAAGACATATGATTCCTTCAAAATCATGTTAGCCTTTTTCTGTGGACCAGGATTGAATTACTTAACATAACCCTAAATTTTCCAACCAGGGAAACATTATAACTTCGTCTCTTCAATTTCTCCCCCCGCAAGTCTTTGCATTATTCCGATGCAAATCTTTAAACAATCAATTCATTTATAGGGCCTGAAATGTATTCAATATCTAATGTGGTCCTTGTGATTTAGCTTCTTCTGGGTGAAGACACCAAATCAAAGTTTTGCTTTAATTACCAGGTATTTGTACCTGTAAATTTCAAAATAGGCATGAGTAAAGCACAAGAAAATAAACGACCTTACTCAAAAGACCCTACTACTAGTAAGTTGCAACAGAGAAGTAGGGGTATGATTTTTCTTGTTTGACAACTGATGAGGGTAGGTTATAATATTTAAGACTTACCCAGTATATTTAGTTTTCCCAACAAGGATTAAAGGGGACAAAATCATTAATCCATGACCCTCTTGTGGTTTGCATATATTTGAGATTTTCCTGAATTTTCTTACCAGAACACAAAATCCACTGCTATAGCTTTGTTTCTATTCAGGCTTTTTGGCCTTTTTGCTTTCCTAATTCAAACCTATGTGAAACAAGTTCATAACATATCTTGAATTTTCCCCACTGGCTGTCTGAAATCACCCATATTTATCTTCTTGATATTAGTAACTCAGTTTTGGTTTTATTGTTTAGTCCATGAGATTGGCAGTAGAAAGGAAAATAAATGACATAAAAATGATATTAGTGAAAATTTTCTTAAGGGCTGAATGTGCCAGACACTGTACTAGGTGCTTTACATGAAATATCTCACTTAATGCCCCCAACCATGCTATAATGATATAGCAAGTGAGAAACTTGAGACTAAGAGAAGTTAATGCAACCATCAAGCAGTAGAGCTAGGAAAATGAGGTGGTCTGATGTCAGTGTCAGTGGTCTTAACCACAATGTATAATATATGGCTCCCCCTATATGGACTACACAGGCTGTAGGCTGTGTCTCTAGCCTATACTTCCCTAACTCTCCAATCAAAATTCTTTCATAAAATCAATTCAAGCAAATGCTAATGCATTTTTTAATATTCTTTTTGCATTGTTTAGAAACATCATGACTTAACAGGACTGGCATCAAAAATCAACAAAACAGCTTTCTTTGTGATTTTTCTAACTATACATCTGCATTGTTTTTCCTAAGGTACAGTAAATGATTATACAGTAAATAGTTTATTATAATTTGGATGGGAGCTATATACTTTGATCATGTAATAGGATATGCCATATGCCACTGATGATGTGTTTTTTTGATATATAACATGCCCCCTAAAACTTCCCCAGTGTGAACACTGAAGACATAGGGTAGCCATTTGGCCTATGAGGTGGTTGTCATAAATGGACCCAACAACAAAGACATCACATTATTGGCTTGAGAGCTTGAGAATATGGGAAGAAAACCTAAAAAGAAATGTCGGCCCACAGCCCCAGTCCCTCCCTTCAATTCCACCACCACTACTACCTGACCACCAAAAAAAAAAAAAAAAGGAAAAAAAATATCCAGACCCAGGAAGAGTGCAAAGGAAGTATGAACATAGGAAAGAAATTTAGGATAATTAGAAGTCTTGATCAAGGAAAAAGATCATAATATGATTTCCCTATAAAATTTGAAGAATCTGTCTGTATAACAAGGCACCATGACTCATTTTGTAGTTGAGGTTTTTGGGAGGCAACAGCTTCACAGATTAACCTTTTGTAAGAGGCTCTGGAAATACGGGAGTAGAGATTGCAGCAGAGTGTGTCTAAGCATGAAAAGGCTGGAGACCCCCCGCACTCTAATTTCTCTCAATCCTAGGTGTCTTGTGAAAAGATCCTAAAGTTCCCATGGGCCCACAGAGGAGGGTACACAGTTAGCTCAGAGAGGATTCTGGTGGGCCTGCTGATATGTCCTAAGTAGCTATGATGTAGGTCCCCTGCGGCAGAAGAAATGGTATGGGCCACACCACTCAAGCACCTTGAAGGGATCACAAACCCTAGGAAATGAACTCGCATTAAATAGGTCATTATGGGGATGGGGGGACACTGAGCAGAGAATTCAGGAGAGGCAGCATTGAGGGGAGGGTATATACTTGGAAACAAAGGCCAGCATAGGATGGAAATGGCAAGGCCAAGAATCAGACGGCCACCTCTTAATTCACAATTTTTGTGATGTGACCAACCCTAGGAGTACAGAGACAATCCCAGAGAAAAACAGAGGGAAGGACCTGAGAAGAGGCTTCATCTCAAAATGGGAAATTGTTTTAAACTGAACGCAATGGAGATACCATGGGGTTGAGCTAAGAATGCCCAGAATTGATGTTGTTTTTCTGACATTGGGAAGAAATAAACAAAAAATTGGGTTACTGAAAAAGTTACACTCCAACACACATGAGTTTTGAGGACTGTTTCATTGTCAGAGTCACAGAGTCATATCCACCAGAAAAGCACATCCTCCTTCTAAGGAAGCTTAATTACTTGACAACACCATGGTCTATAGTTCTCAACTAAGTTGAATAGGCTTCCAATTAATTTTATCGCTGGAGATAAAAAAATAAAAAAAGTAATGTGGTAACCGTACACTGGAGAGCATCCTGCTGATAAAAAGAGGAAAAATAGGAACATAAAACCTGAAAGTGTGGGTAGAATATTTTATGACCTAAAGACCTAAAGTAAAGAAAGCACTTAAATGAATAAATATAAACTTTTACTTCATAGAGTTAAATGTCTAGAAACCCTTTTGAATTAGAATGCTTACTATATTAGACTAAAAAAGCTGGTAACTTATTCCTACATCTAAAAAATAATAATAATAATCACCTGCTTCATCCTTACCTTAATAAAGATAAGTCATATTCTTTACAAATAAAAATATATTCAACACTGTGGTGCATGTGATATCAGACTATCCAACCTTCACCAACTTGACCTCTAACACTGTCACACTGAGAAATGATCACCAAGTGATGCTAGAGACAGTCTTGTTATCTTCTCCTACTTTATAAAATTATCACTGGTAATGATCATACAACTGCATTTGTTTGTCTGAGCCCCGAGG